CACCCCCACTGGGGATCGAGCCCGTAACTCGGGCATGTGCCCTGAACTGGGAATCGCACCTCGATCTCCTGGATGATCAACTGCTGAGCCACATTGGCCAGGCTGAAGTCACCTTTCTTGACCAAATACTGGGAGTATGAGCCTCATCCTGGGGTAAGTACTGCTTCTTCATGAATCACTTGTGGAAAGCTATGTCCACACCAAATTACACTTAGCCCTGCATGAAAAATACAGACATGTTCCCTGAATCAGCTAAGAGAGGTAGTTCCTCTCTGTAAAGATGACCATCTTTACAAAATACCAGGTTCTCGATTTTCAAACATAACTTGAAATTAATAAGTATAATCTATTATTAGCAAAACTGTAGGTGAATAGCCAAGAAAATAGAGAATATTATTAAAAAGAGCCAAAGGGCCTGCAATAAGTTGAACTCCCAGTATATACACAGTAAAAAATTAAGTATGCAGGGTAGTATCTTTGTTTTCAAAAAGTCTATTTGAATAGTCTCCAAGAGACTCATAAGGATAAGGAGACATATGAGTTTGATCAGGTAAATGTACATCAAATAGCAATCTTTAGTTGCATGGTACAATGGCTACTGCTTCTGTCTGCCCAAAAATGTGTTCTTTCTTATCTCCCCTCATTCACACCAATGGCTCATAGGGTTAGACACAAGACTGGAGTATGGCCAATCAGAAGACAGGAAAACAATGGTTGGAAAGAACCACTTCATGACTACATCCCAGAAGAAAGGCCCATGAGAGAGTCTTCTTTCTCAAGTCTAAGTGAGCAACATTCCAATCTTTCTTTTACCTAATTTAGTCAATCTATTTCAACTAATACACATAATCTTTCCCCAACCCAAATTTTAAAAAGACAAAATTTACTATGATTCAAGATACTTCATGGTCAGGCTCTCCTTTCTAACTCTTCTCCACTGTCTACCTCTCTCCAACAAATTTACTATAGAAAAAGAAATACAGCAAGGAATACAATCACTCTATCTTCATCTTTGTCCCCAAACACTTTCCTCTCACCTTTTCTATCCTGTGATACAAGTATGAAAGTCATTCTTTTTCAATCATTATTTCTTCTCAGTTCCCCCATAAGACCAAGCTGTGAGACTATCACAACTATAAAATATGCACAAAGCAAATACATCTAGAACATTATAAAATCAGAAGCCAGCCCATCCCGTTCCCAAATTCAACACCTAAAAGGGTTTGGGCCCAGCCGGGCGTGGCTCAGCAGTTGAGCATCGACCTAGGATCCAGGAGATCGGGGTTCGATTCCCGGTCAGGGCACATGCCCAGATTTCGGGCTGCAGCCGATCAATGACTCTCTCTCTCATCATTGAGGTTTCTATCCCTCTCTCCCTCTCCCTTCTTATCTCTCTAAAAAATCAATAAAAATATATTTTTTTAAAAAAAAAGGGTTTGCTATGTGTTTCAATGTTGTAGAAAGTGTAAGAGTGGTAGCATAGGTAATAAACCAGATGAACACAGGTTGTAAATTCAGTTCTACGACACAAAACAGAGGGTTAGATAAGCCCAGGAGCAAGACTTACTTCTAGGCAAGTGTCCAGAAAACCCCCACAAACATATCTATATTTAAGGCATGGTGAAAACATTTACTATGTATTCTTTATATTAAACAATTGCAAGTGAAAATAAAATACCAAGATCTGTGAAAACTGATTTTGCATTGGCTTAACCTCTGGCCATCACCACACTTGTCTGTGTCCATGAGCTATGCACATATGTTCTTTGGCTAATCTCTTCTCCTTTATCAAGATAAGCGTTTTTAATATCCTATAACAAATAAGTCTTATAAAAAAGACTATCAAAAAGCACACTTTGGCCCTTGCCAGGTTGGCTCAGTTGGCTGGAGCGTCATCCCGTACAACAAAAGATTGCGGGTTCATTTCTGGGTCAGGGTACATACCTAGGTTGTGGGTTTGATCCCTGGTCGAGGTGCATAAGGGAGGCAATTGATCAATGTTTCTCTCTCACATCGATGTTTCTCTCTTTCTCTCTTTCCCCCTTCCTCTCTCTCTAAAAATCAATAAATATACATAAGTATATATATTAATATATATGTATACTTTTGGGGGGACACTATATACATATATATATATATATATATATATCTCCTCAGGTGAGGATTAAAAAAAAATTACACTTTGACTAATTGTTAACAAATACTAAGGCCAAAAATGAATATGTAAATAAATCAAAAGTAATGTTGGAAAAAATTAACAAAATAATTCTATTTAGCAATATTAACTATTTTTAAAAGCCTGACAAATTCTAATGTCAAAGGTTTCCATAAAAAGTAATTGCTTTTTTGCCCTGGCAGGTGTTTCAGTGGTTAGAGCATCAGCCTGCACACCGAAGGGTTGAGGGTTCAGTTCTCTTTCACATCGATGTTTCCCTCCTTCCCTCCCTCCCTCCCTCTCTAAAAAAATTAACAGAAAAAAATATCCTCCAGTGAGGATTAACAAACAAACAAAAAGTAATTGCTTTTCCCTTTCCTACCTATAGCTATTATTATCAGTTAGCCTATGAAAACTGTTATGAACCAAAAATAATAAAGGATGTCTATAACTAGTTTCATAATCAAAGAGAATTTGAAAGTACATCTGTACTATCCTTAACAACATACAATAAGAGCCCATACAATAAGATTTATTTTTGCCAGAAATATATAATTATGACACTTATTTCATGCAATCTACTAACACTTTTTCTAATTTAGGACATGGGAAAATCCAGCGATACATTTTAAACCTCATTTATCTGAGTGCAGATTCTTAAAGGACAGCTTTTTATTCACTGTAATCTTTCCCCTCATCACTTCCCACCACCATCACCTCCCAAACCACTTCCTGGCCTGGCATGTGGTTCATGGATTATGAATAGCAGCTTAAATTCAGTCTAAGAAGGCAATATTGATAGAAAATTAGACAGAAAATGGGAAGGTCATTTGGCTCCATGTGCATCTAGCCAACGAGCTAGCATCTACAACTCAACATTTAGCCATCCTTTTCTTGTCACCAAATATAAATAGAAGTATGACTTAAACACAGACACATATACAAAATATCTCCTTATGGAAAATGACCCTGTAAAAGCAGTGCCAGTGTTATACTGGAAGTGAAAGTATTGGCCCTTAGTCAGAAGGCCCTGGTTTTCAATGCATTAAAGAGATCACCCAGTTATATAGTTATTCTTTCTAAAACAGGTACAATAAATTCCTTAAGTGCTCTATAGATTTGTTAAACTGGTTCTGCAAGTGTTCCAGAATTGATTTTAATAAATTCACGAATAAATTTCTTCCTATACTTATAGACTCATTTAAGATCACTTGATATTCATTTATGCCTCAAAATGTTTAGTTATATAGTTTATGGACGAAAGGGTATGACGTGACACAGTGTTAGTCTCAGATCTGGATATTCAAGAAGATCCAAAAATGAACCCTTGTGAATGAGAAGAATCTACTTTTTAAAAATAAACTGTCATTATTTACACTATTCGTCTTTCATTCATATAGATAATAAAGAAAGTTAACTTTAAATGGTTTGTTCATCGGAGGCAAGAAAGCTGGGTACAGAAGTTTCTATGCTTCACTGAAACACTAGTTTAATCTGACTCTCACCGTGGCTTTGAGTGAGTCACCTTCCGGGGCTGAGTTCCCTAATCTGTAAAATGAGAATGGTTTGTTACACGATTCCTGAGCTTGATTATCTTATAAGCTACTTATAATTCAGTTTCATCACTTACGTTAGAAATAAACAAACTTCTTACAGATCCTCAATGTGAATGTGAATTCACATTATTAAATTAGTATTTTATATATCAAGTGCTCTCCATAATAACTGGGTTCAGGATTATTAAAAGCTTTTTAGCAAAGGGAGAGACTAAAAACAAACTCATCAGTACACAGCGCTGTGTTTGAGCAAATCTGACTAGAGTTTAAGAAACTCCACCCAGTGCTGGCTAATAACATCAGAGGAGACATGGCACCACTCTGCCAGAAAATAAGCCCCATATTATTTAACCAGGCACCAAGAGAACACAGTTTTCAACACAGCACTTTGGACATCTGCTCTTTCATTCTGACTACATGTCTGGAGTGAAACTATCTGGTATTCTAGAAGGGTTTTGAAAACAGGTAATCCGAGGAAATAGAAAATGACATGACATGATGATGAGGCACAGAAGAGAATTTTGGTCTCTTGACTACCCTCTTACTATTAATAGCTATGTACTCATAAAGAGTACATAAGAATATATGATGACATCACAAGCACTTTCTCTGCTGTATGGTTTACTTTTAGATCACAAACTCAGAAATTAATTACTGAACTGAAAATATTTTCTAGGTCTATAGAGATTAAACAGTGTTCATATCTGATTTAAATACACAGAAGTGTGGACAACTTTTTAAGCTCCTAGAAGTCCTCTTGAAAATTTTAGGTCAGTCATCTTATCTATAGTCACTCACTCGGGATCTGTGCTCATTTTTTCTGATGAAAAATTAGCAATCAAGTTTGCAAATGGCCTGCTGTTACCTCTGTCCTCTCCTACCTACCACCCCCAAGGTGCTGCTCGGGAGCTAACGTGGGAGGAGAAAACTCATGAAAAGGAAGAACAGAGGCCTAATTTCCACCAACATACTCAGTCACTGTTCATAACAATATACTATTTTTATTTTACTGTCACATTAGCTAAACTTCTATCAAGATTCCTTTGAGATAGCCAACATTCCCTTTTAAAAAGTATAGAATCCTATTTCACAATATAATAGGGGGAAAGGGTTAAACAGAAAGACCACCTTAGTATGAATTTCTTATCAAGCAGCTTTCCTCCTGATCCCAGAGATAAATTCCACTGAAAATGTCTGAGTTTCTGGGTTCAGTGTGAAAAGGGAGAAAAGTAATTTAGCAGCATGGCACATTTCAGGGAAGAAAGCTGATCTGGTAAAGATATCAAAGTCGGGTAAAGATATCAAAGTCGGGAGATGGCAAGCAGGCCCTAGGAGGGAAAAGGGGAGGTAATACAACAGTCAAGGTCAAGCATGACATCTTCCAAAATACTGCCTCCTGAGAATTTTACAAGAAAAAAAGAAACATTCTACTCAATAACCTAGACTAGTTTAGAAACAAAATTATCATTTATAACACTGTTATCTAAGGGAAATTTTGTATTCTGAATTCCAAATAACCTATTTAACAAATAAATGTTTAATAATTCTTAAAGGTAGGAGACTGCTAATAATGCTCACTTGAATTTTCTGTGATTGATAATCTGTCCTTTTGGGGGGAGTAGAGAGGTGAGTTATGGATGAGGCACAGACTGTAAAGATACGTGGGCTAATATTTTCTTCTGTACTTTTTTTTTTGCATGACTTATATTCTGAAGCCAACAACCAGCTGCTATCCCAGGACATTAGTGAGAGTACTGTGGCCAAAATTTTTTTCTCCAGCTTGGAAAAAAACCAGCGTCTCAGCCGGTCCCAATGATTATAAGATCATTTCTAATCTGACATGGTGAGAAGTATAGCCTGCATCATAAAGACTTCATATTCAATGTTAAGACCTTTTGAGTTTGCCTAGCAAGCTTTCAGTTACTAAATGGGGACTTTATTTCTCAGATTTGTTTTAATGAATTTCTTTCAGAGGCCTATTGCATATCAAGTTGAACCTTGTTTGTCTGGAGGCTGTGTTCTGTTTTTAATTTAATTAACTAGAAAAAGAAAACCTTGATTTATACATTCAATCAAAGGTGTACTTTATTCTAAGTAAAACCATATTTTTATTAAGGACCTCTAGGGGTCTCAGCTACCATCTCATATAGCTCAGAGGCACATATCACCTAGGCTAATCTGAATTTCTCCTGCTCTTCCCCAGAACCAGACTGGCAAATGGCAACAGACAATTCGGCAACATCTTGACTATCCTGAGCAATCAACTCCAAACTCCCTGGAGAACATACTAACTTTCTACCCCAGGTGCCCTCCTACATACTTCAAGGACAACAGCTGTATTATTACAAACTAATGGAATTTCCAGGTTCGGTGGGGCTCTGTTCCTAAACACCAGTTGTCCTGTTCCTCATAGGATTAGCAACAGGAGAGAGCCCTTGATTACTAGAATAGCTGAGGTCATCACCCAGCTGATACATTTTATTTCCATGTAGTCCCCAAAACTAAATATAAATACACTGCACACATAGGCACACATATACATACATAAAACCTCGCAGCACAAGGCAGAAAGCCTAGCTTACTTACGGGAACTATCCGGGCAGCTTGTGTTCAGTCCTGACAGAATGCATTTTAGATCTCTAAACAGGCACATGCCTGCTACATTTCTGTCTAAGTGAATTTAAATCTATTTCTTCAAGAAGAACAATCTACACCAGATACCTCCCACTGTTAGCCATGTGATAGACGACAGTCAGTCTGCTGAACTCTGGTTATGTGGGCCAAAACAAGAGACGACAATGACACAGCACTTACATTTCTGCTACAACCATCCTGAAGAGTGAATCTTCAATTTTATCTCAATTTTTTTTTTAAAAAAGGAGGGTGGATTTTAAGATGATTCTCAATGCCTAATGACTCAAAATTTGGAAAAAGAGAAAGTATTTTTTTAAACTTTACTATTCATCTCATGTTGTCTTCCTCAGTCTAAGACGAAAAGAAATTCAGAGTTTGCTCACATCTATCCAAAAATTATTTCTAACCACTTAAAATCTCTAAAGTCTTGTTTAAAGTCCAGTTCAAATCTAGGATCCAATTCCCTCACTTTAACAGATGACAAAAAAGAGAACCAAAGTAAACAAGTCACTTATAAATGGAGCTGGGACTGAGGATCGGGCTAAGAGGAGAGCGAGAGAACACTAGAAATAAAAGGGTGTGACAAAATTGGCCAAGTCTTAGAATTTTATAGGTTCTGCCTTTATCTGACACATTACTATACTTAAAAATCTATTTTCCTCCCCTATCTTTTCTTCTTAAAAGGATGAAGGCAATTGGGAACAGCCCTAACATAAAGAAAACATCCCAATTGATTTAAAAGAACCCCAATGCCTATTTAGAAAAGAAATCCAAACTTCTTAGTGTGATATCAAGGCTACATAATCCTAGAAGGCCCAGTCCTCATACTACCACAACCATCAGCAGGTTTCCATGTTGGGTCTCCCTGTATTTTAGTCACATGGCATGGGCTGCCATTTTACAAGCATACCATGGACATTACCACTGTATACCCTTTGTAGGGGTTCAGAATGAGCCACCCTAAGATGTGCCTCTGTGGCACGTGGATTGTTTTAAGCTAAAGGCAACCAAAACCCTGAGGACTCAAAAGAAACTTCTGCTTCCTCCTTATCTAGAAGAATTTAAATTAGGAACCTGGCCCAAGATAAGAGTTAAAATCACAAATGACCTTTTACCTATCTATATGTGCCAGGGGAAACTAATAATCACTGAACATGTGCTCTCCCTGCAATGACTTTCTAGTGCATTACCTCCTCCCTAACTTAGGATGCCTTATCTACCCATTTTCCCTTTCTGTCTCTGAACCTCCCATGTATGTGGGGTCTCTGACTCTCTCATGTATGCAGGGTTCTCATATATATGTATGTATTAAATTTGGTTATTTTCTCTTGTTAATCTGTTTCAAGTTTCCTTGACATTAGACCAGCCAGAAGAACCTTGAGGATAGAGGAAAGTTTCTTCCTCCCCTCACCTTGCTGATACTGCTCTTCAGATTCTCTTCACTCCTCCTTATCTGTCAAAGTTTCAAAATCAAAGTCCTATTATCTTTTCTGTGATTACTTTTTAGAATCTGTTCTCCCAGATCCATTCGAAACTAACACACATCATCTGTACTTCCATTCTAACAGGTACAGTCTGATCTGTCCTGTAAGTTGTAGACAGAATGGGACAAAAGTAGATTTACAGTTGTTCGTATGGAAAATACAATAATTAGCCCTAGCTGGTTTTGCTCAGTGGTTAGAGCATCAGCTGCACACTGAAGGGTCCTGGGTTCAGTTTCAGCCAAGGGTACGTACCTTGGTTGCAGGCTCAATCCCCAGTCCAGATCAGGGCTCGTGTGGGAGGCAACCAATTGACGTGTCTCTCTCACATCAATGTTTCTCTCTCTCAGGCTCTCTCACTTCCACTCTCTCTGAAAAACAATGGAAAAAATATCCTCGGGTGAGGATTAAAAAAACACAAAACAATGATTAATAAATAATAATACAAGAATAAACTGTGTTTCACATACTTACAACTGTAAACCTACCTTTGCCCCGCCCTGTATACCAGCAGCTCCTATAAACTACTAGGTCTCAAAGGTCAAGGACTATGACTAAATAATATGTATGCCTTCTCTTACATATCACTTTCTGTGTATTACTTTACGCAGAAAATGGGCCAAAATAACAAAGCCAACCAAACAAAAGGCTAGCTAAATGGCTCTAAACTGGCACAACAGAAGTTAATAAAGCCGTGTCTGATTTGAAATGAATCAGAGGTGTCAAACTACAAAACTCTTTAGACCTGGACAAAGAACAGGCAGGCTCAAGGCTGAAGGGCCCTCACATTAAGGATATTCACCTCATTCCTTCTACTTTCCACACGGCTTATGCCAGAGCAGTCCTGGAAAGACAGCCAACAGCGAGTAACCACACAAGCCGGCTCTCCATGCCAGTCACCTTATCATCATTAGGCAGAGCAATAAAAATAGCTCTCTGCTTTTAGAAAAGCACAACAACATGATGCAACACGGCAGAAACAAATAGGTTTTTATTCAAGAGATTAGCTGCCACCATCGATGTTAACGTCACTGTTGAGAACTTTTATAATTATGAAAATATTAAGTCTCTATAGTATCAGCGCACATCTCCGTCCAGGTGTAATAAATTATGTAATTTTAAGATGACTTAGTGCTGGAAAAATTGGGTAAAGAGAAGAGTATTCACTCCTGATTAGCTCTTAGCTTTTGAGAACTATTTTATATAAGTAAAGCTTCTCCATCAAGCAAAGTGAGTTTCTCTCTGAAGTTCAGAGCCATGCATGCCACATTTTATGTAACCTTCATCAGGCAGTCATTGGCTGAGGGCCATGTGACAGGGAGGGACGTAACTTTCCAAACATCTCTGGGGGAGGTGGCTCCTATCTGCTGCAGCCCTGGGCAGCTAACACTCATAGCAGGATAGGGGGTGCGAACGGGGGGGGGGCACTCACTGGAAAAGATAATCTAGACAGGGAACCAGCATCATCTGCTACAGAAGGATAAATTGTGTAACAAAAAAAGCATAGCAGAACTGGTGTAGGTATATAAATACCAAGCAAAATAGACTCTAAGCAAAAAACCATTAGCAGAAATAAAGTGACAAAAAGTTTAATTCATTAGATTTACCAATATTAAATATTAAACTTATACAAACCTAACATCACATCTATTTAAAAAATGCATAAAACTGAAAGTAATGAGGAGAAACAAAGGTGTTAAAAAGGATGGACAGTAATGGGGCCTCTCATGCACTGCTATAAACTGATAATCATTTTAGACAACAGTATGTCATTATTTATAAGGCAGAATTTGTACATTTCCTTCCCAGGCTTTCCACTTCTAGATATGTATCTTAGATAAACTCATCCACGTACAAGAATGTCAGCAGCATTATTCATAACAAAAATCTAAGAACAATACAAATGTGTATCAATAGAGAATAAATTAAATTTTATATTAATGTAATGAAATCAATATAGCATTGAAAATGAATTAACTATAGATATATCCATCAACATGGATAAATTTCAGTTACATGGTGTTAAAGGAGTCATGCATTTGTGCTCAAACAAACACAAGGAAAGGCACAAAATTCAGGATAGTGATACACTCTGGGGGTAAATTTCAATAGGGAAGGGACAAACAAGGGGCTTAGGCTTTCCTAAGCTGGGTAGTAGATTCATGAAAATTTATCTTTTTATTACTCTTTATATTTTGCATATATATTTTACATACAAAAGGGTACATATGACGTCACAGCAAAAAGGAGGGGGGCACAAGGATAATGAAGGAAGCAAAGGGACAGGGACAGGGACAGGGACAGGCACAGGGACAGGCACAGAAGGTGGAAAAGGGAAAAACAAAAAGAAAATTCCCCAAGCAGTACCAAGTTATGAGGAACAGATTGTCTTCTGATTTCTAACAGCAACACTAAATGCTAGAATGCAATGGAGTGATGCCTTTTAAAACTGAAATTTTAAACCTAAAGTTTTACACCCAACCGATTTATCAAGTAAGGATCAAGTTGCAAATTCAAACATGCAATAAATCCAAAACGTTTATTTTCCAGACACCCTTTCTGAAAATGAACTTTCAGTGCAAATTCCAGTAAAGTGACAAATGAACACAGCATGCTAGGAAAGCCACAGTATCCAAGTAACAGTACAATTCATCTATAAAAAAAATAAAAAATTCCAAGATGATGGTAATGCACTGGATCTAGAAACAACTGTCCAAAATTAACCTTTCCACAAACAATATAGTTTTTAAAATGACCTTACATATGTGGTACAGATGCCATATATTTTCTTAGCAATAAGGTGGAAAAAAGGACAACTAAAAATTGGGGGGAAGGGAGTTACTGGAGGGGAACTACACAAGAATGTTTGATTCAAACACAATGCAACCTGTACTGTATTTTGAGCTCATTATATATTTTAAGAAAAGAATGCATTTAATACTTAGAACATTCTCATCAGATTTACTAACACAGGATGGATTCATGAAGAATTACATTTTGTACCTAGGTGTAAAAGGGTGTGTGTGTGTGTGTATGTGTGTGTGTGTGTGTGTGTGTGTGTATACATATACTGTATCACAGAAAAAAGGGGGGGAGGAGTGGGGACTAACTCTAAAACAGCAGCTTTTGAAATCAAAGCTAAAAGGCTTTTGCTGACTCTTCAAGTGTAATCTTAAGTGGGTAGAATGCAAAGAGAACTTTGCCTCCTCACTGGAATGTGCTTTCCTATTGGTCTGCAAGTCTGCATGTGCTGACCTTTAAAAGAAAGTATAAGGTTTGTCTGTTCTCCCTTCTGCTAGTGGGCTGACAGACTTAACATGGGTGGACAATGACTTGGTGGCTCTGATGTTGGCTGTGTTCAATATTCTACTGTATTTCTTGTACAAGCACTGGAAGATTATTGCCATAAATGCATTTTTATTCCTTCAAAAATAAGCAAGGCAAAATGAAATAAAAGAGAAGTTTAAACCACAAATGAAATTACAAAAGAAAATAACATGATATGGCCATCTTGGGGGGGAAAAACTCCTAAATATAACAAACACCAAAGAGTTTACAAACTAAAATTACGAAGACTTCCAAACTAAGTTTCTTCCAAGAAATTCTGAAGTGAATTCTAAGTAATCAAAGGTACAAACCGTATCACGCAATAGGAGAAAGATTTTGATGGTGAATACAGAATCGAGGAATGTGCAAACTGAATGGGAGTGTGGCAGAGATGTGCTCAATGCTCCCAGTCCTGTTTACCTCCCTTACAGTTACAACTTGAGACCATATGGCTGGGTTTTGTCAGTGGAATGCAAGATGAAGTAATATGCTTCACCACAAAATTAAATAAGCTCCTCCTTGCTGGTGCTCTTTGCTCTCAACCAAATAAATAGAAAGGATCTAGTGGAAGACTCTAAGACACCAGATGGAAGGAACTGGAATTCTTTATTCATCACAGGAACCAAAAAATAAACCTTTGCAGTCCGGGTAGCTCAGCTGGTGAGAGCATCGTTCTGATACATCAAGGTTGCGGGTTCAACCCCCAGTCAGGGAACATACAGGAATCAACCAATGAACTTATAAACTGATCTCTCTCTCTCTTTCTCCAAAATCAATTTTAAAAAAATAAATAAACCCTAATTGTGTGAAGCCACTGAAATGCTAGATATGTTAAAGCAGATAGCATTAATTACCCAATTAATACAGGGATCTTGTCCTAGCCCGTCTGGCTCAATGGTTAGAGCACTAGCCCACGGACTAAAGGGTCCTGGATTCAATTCCGGCCAAGGGCACAAACCTTGGTTGCAGGCTCTATTCCCAGCCTGGGTCAGGCACATTCGGGAGGCAACCAATCGAATTGTCCCTCTCACATTGATGTTTCTCTCTTCCTTCCACTCTCTCTGAAAAGCAATGGGAAAAATATCCTCGGGTGAGGATTAAAATAAAAAAAAAAATACAAGGATCTTACATATCTAAACTAACATCCTCATTTTACAAATAAAAAAACTGATAAAGACAGTTTCTAGAAACTACATTAGTGCCCTAGCCAGTTTGGCTCAGTGGTTAGAGCATCAGCCCAGCAAAGGGTCAAGGGTTTGATTCCCAGTCGAGGGCATACACTTGGGTTGCAGGTTTGATCTGGCCCAGGTGGGACATGCAGGAGACAACCAATTGATGTCTCTCTCACATCGATGTTTCTTTCTCTCTCCCCTTCCCTCCCTCCTACTCTCGATAAAATAAATCAATTGAAAACATATCCTCAGGTGAGGGTTTTAAAAAAAAGTCTCATCACTGAAAACTAACTGACTCTTCACTAAAGCTTCAAATCTGGTACTCCGGAAAACCAACTTAACTTTGTTGATTCACAGACAACAGTGACCAACTCTAACAAGGACTTATTCATGTTCAGAGAAACAAAACAACTTAGCAATGTGTATCTAATATTTCCAACTGAATCACAAGACTTTAAAAAGAGCATTTGAATCCAACCTCCTTATTTTATAAGTGAGAAAAGGGCCAAGGGCATTAACAAAGATACTTGTTCAAGGTCACCCTTGAGTCTCAACTAGAACCAGGATTTCTTCAGTCCCATATTCCAAAGCAAGAAGCAAGTGAACGATAAGGGGTATTATAATTCTGACCACATCCTATACTAGGTTAGAATGCTTTAGTTTTCTCAGGGGTCAAGAAGATAAGTTCAGCCATTTCCACCTATCAGTAATAGCACCAAATAGCTATCTTTTTTTTTAAATGCTATGCCTACTTGATACAGATTTTTGTCTC